TAAGAACATCAGAAGTATTGAAACGATGAAAGTCACTGGTCGTGTTATTAGTTAAATTGAAGGCAGAAAGGACATTTGGAGGGCGGATGAAAGATCTATTGAGAGTATTTACATCAATAGAAGAGGCAAAATTATTATGCTTACCACAACCAGTAATTTCTCTAAAAAGTTTCCATATGTTTTCTGATGTTTTACAAGATAGTATTGTTTGATTATAAATGTTGTTTAGTCTCTTGATTTCAGATTTAATTTGGGTGTTTATCTTCTTAAGACCAGATTTATTCTTTGTCTTGTACAGCTTCTCTTTTTCTCTACGAAGTTTTTTGAGATGAGGGGAAGCGAAACGATCCATTCTTTTGAAAATTATTATCATAAACGTTAACCTCATTTAGACATTCTTCTCATTACTATTGTTGTCGACATTCATTTCATTATAATCATAAATATTTATTAGTTTTATTATTTGCTGTTCGTCAACTGTACTGCAAGCACACGCATTCACCAAGTATATGTATATATCTATTTATATATGAATTTCACAAATGTTAACGAACATGTCATGGTTTATTATGTACATAAATTTTTTATTTAAAATTACAAGTTTTGATTTTTTTTTAAATTCCTGTATGTGCTAAACTTTATACGACACGGATGCATGGTATACATCCTGATCTAACTTTTTATCCTTATTGTTATTTTTTTGTTATCCTTATTGTTGACATTGTCCCTTATTTATATTGCTTATATTCATGTAATCGTCCACGAGGACAAGTACTGATGGTCCTCCGGACCTCTAAGAGGGGAGCCCTGTGGAGTCCTCAAAAATAAACTTATCCAAATTTTACTACTATGTAAATAATGAACATATTGTACACCACTTTGTTTTAACCATAAACTCTGTACTTTGACTTTACCTCGGGTTTTGAAAAAATATATAGTTCTGCCTTTGACTCTCCGTCTTCTCCACCATCTCAACTGCCGTCGATCAATTTTAATCACCTGCTTTCTATCTCAAATTTTTGCAGGAGCACCGTAGTTCTTCCTACGTACTTTGGTCAACCTCCGGAAACGTCAACATTGGAGAATTAGTACTGGAGCAGTCTTCCCGCAGCACCTGGAGTCTATTACGTTTATTGTGGACTTTGGATCTTTGTAAACCCAAGTAACCAAACTTTAATACATTCTTCCCGTGACTAAACTGATTTGGTACTTTATTTTCTATTTGAATTTGGGTAACTAAGCTAACAGAGTAAAAGGTCCCCCACACACCCACCCAAATAAGATATAGACATCGGTCTTTCATCCGTAACTGAAGTAACAAAGGCTGTCACTTATCTAAAACGAGACAAGGTAGCAGGACCTTATGGAATGATTATATAAGTGTTTAAGGTTAGTGATGACGAACTGATGTCCGGGTTAACTAAGGTAATAGATGTTTAGGAATCCGCGGTAGCTTTGTCAGACCGGAGTAAGTTACTGATAATCCCAGTTAATAAGGAGGGAAACAAGTCTTCCCATGTTAATCAAAGAGGGATCAGATTGACTTATATGGTATCTAAAGTTCTAGGCTCAATAATCATGCGTAGAATAAGCGGTTCTCAGGAGAAACAAACGAGGAAAACCAGACGGTCTTTAGATTAGGCAGAGGGTGAAGTGATCATATGTTTACCCTTTGACAGATACTGGAACATAGGCGTATTGATTGGTGTCCAACTACTGCCACATTCGTTGATCTGAAGGCTGAATTCGACTCTGTAGACCAAGAGGTACTATGCTGATGTTGGCCGTGAAGTGCCAATTAAGTATATCGCACTGATCGAGACACTCTGCTCGAACTTAGGCAGCCGTGTAAGAGCTTACACAGAGTTGTCATCTGAAGTGATGAGTCAGCAGTGTCCGTCAGAGATGCTCACTGTCTCCACTTTTGTTTAATTTCATCATACATGTACTTATGGAATTGACTCTGGCCGATTTTGTCGACTTAAGAGTGGATTTGTTACCAGACAATAGACTCGTCTACTTAGTGCATGGCTATTATATTGTCCTCTTAGCTGAAGATGCTGACTAATCTCCGCAAGGACCGTGAACAGTGGTGGGTGACAAAGGCAAAAGAGATGGAAAAAGCATCGGCGATAGGCAACACTAGGCAACTCTTTAGACTCATCAGGTAAACGGGTGGGAGAAGGCAAATCATAAGTGAGGCTATTTCTGAGAAAAATGGCTCCTTAATTAGCTCTTAGGATAGACGCCTTGAACGCTGGAAAGAACACTTTGAGGAACAATTTAACTTACCTACAGCCACACTGAACCTCCCCGACATCCAGCACACACCCGAATGGGATATAGACACTGGTCCACCGTCTGTAAGTCAGATCACAAAAGCTATCTGTAATTTGAAACGAGGCAGAGCGGCAGGACCCGACGGAATTATTCCGGAAATGTTTAAATATGGGGGTGACGTACTAGTTTGTAGAATTACTGAGGTGCTAGGCAAAGTCTGGGAATCAGAGACAGTACCATCAGACTGGGGTAAGTCACTTATTATACCGATATTCAAGAAGGGGAACAAGTCCTCGTGTGATAATCATAGGGGGATCAGCCTAACGAACATAGTCTCTAAAATCATAGGCTCAGTAATCATGCACAGACTAAGCAGAACTCGGGAGGAACAGATGAGGGAAAATCAAGCAGGCTTTAGACCAGGTAGAGGGTGCATAGATCATATCTTCACTCTCCGACAGATTCTAGAACATAGACACACTTTTCGGTGTGATATACGGCTATCAACCAAAGGACGTGTGAGTACTGTGATGCAGTTCACTCTGTCCTTCTTTATGCATATGAGTGCTGGCCATTGAAAGTGGAAGGTATGAAGTGGTTAGCCATCTTTGACCATAGACCTTTGCATTCTGTCTCCCGTGTTAAGTGGTATAATATGGTGAGTAATATTGAGGTTGAGCGTAGAGTGTTAGATAAGGAGGTTAAGTCGGTCGATGAGACCATGAAGGTGAATTGATTGAGATATGTAGAACACGTGTTGTACATGACGAGGAATTCCCTTCCTCGAATGGCAATGTTAGCTGACATAGGATTAGGTCGGAGAAGAGTTAGGGATCGTCCAACAAGAACAGCATCAATTCATGATTTGACTCAAATAAGGAAGTATAGACTGTCTCATTGGGATGCTGAGAACCAATGATCTGAGACTATTAGCGATGTGGTTAAAAATAGTTCTCAGTGGCGCAAATGCACTCTCTTTGTTATCTCCGAAATTCATTAAGTCTTGGTGTTCTTCCTTGTAATCATTCTCATCCACATATTTCCATTCATTATAGTTCTTTCAAATGTCTTTTTTCCCTATCTTTGTGTGCTGCATCGAGTTTGGTAATTTGGACGGGTTTACTTTTGTGTCAAGTCCTACGTTGGAACTCAGTCAGTCACTACAGTGAGAGAGCCACTAAACGACATTCGTAACACATTTCAAAGCTATTGAAGTCTGTACTCCTTAATGGCCTCTTAGTTTGATATTTGACATTCACCTTATGTAAAAATGTCTTGATAGATCTCAAAACTGATTACAACGCACTAGGACCTGATTCAAGTATTGCTATGAAGATGGGGATAATTGAACACGCAGCATCACTGTACAATGAGTTAGGAGGTTAGACTAATTAATGTACAATTTACTCATCAAGGAAATACTATTATCACAATCCGTCCAATGGATTTTGAGAATACCTAGAATTAAACTACTTAGCACTGGGAGTCCTTTCTTCTTAAAACTGATTACCTTTGAATAACCTATATTTCGGTAGTGTTTTTATCACTGGGAACCATAAACAATGCTCACCAATCCAAATGTCACAAAACAATTTGTTAATCTTTAGACGAACAAGTTCCACTGTTTGCACAATAGTTCTAGTTACGAGATAAGCATTGACACTGGGCTTAGGTCTTTGGCCGAAGAGATCCGCTAGTTATTAAACTCAGCGAAATTTTCTATACAAATAAGGTAGAACCGATGCTTGCTAATGATAATTCTACCTAAAGGTCTAGAACAACAATACATTTCTTACAGGAAATTAGTATATATCTACACACCAAACTAGTTACCGGCAACACCGTCTGCGACACTAAACGATATTCTTGTCAAGTCATTACAAGAATTTTGCAAACATGAACGACTGAACTATCCCAAATGAATATAAACAGAAATAGTGTCGCTTCTGAAGAGACTTCTGATAAGAGTGAAGTTAGCTCTACAGTGGGGACATCAGACAGAGACATGGCTCTAGATACGTAAAGTCTTAAGCGTGTATTCTCCTACTGAACACTACCAGTTTATTAACTACTGCGGGCGAACTTCATACAAAGAGCTATTATGAGCAGAACATGTAGTAGTAGTAGAGACACACGTCGAACTGTCTAATAAAAATCCATCCAATACAAACAAGCAGTAGATACACACCACGGTTAGTCACTGTAATTATTATTACAATAAAACTGAATAATGAACGATACTCCCTTATCCACAATCCCTGCAGAGGACCAATTCTTCTAAAGCTCAACTACCAACTACAACAATTCCACACAACGCGACTAATATCCTATTCAAGATTAGAAAACTAACACAATTTTGAATAATAAGGAATTTTATCAATATAAAGATTGAAACATAATGTTATTTAATAAAATGCAGCAAATACGAGTGGATGTGAGTAAATTTTCATAAGTGATGAGTTAAAATTTTCTTAATGTAAAAAGTATTACAAATATGAGTAAATGCATCAGTTAACACTGTATTATGGTGCTGTTAACATCGTCGCTTTTAGGCGTGTATGGCAGCAAATGTACTGTACAAATACATAGTTAATTTTTGGTTGGTGAATTTGGTAACTAAACATATAAAGATGAACATGAAACAGCTTAACATATACAATAGGAAATTTGGCCTAAACAATAACAAAAACGATGAAATTTTTCTTATATTGATTCCATCATTACTGGTCAACAGTAGATCCATTCTCGACATGAGTTTCGGCAGATTCTTCAGTATGCTTGTGCTTAGTTCCACAATGCTCACCATTATTGCCATTTTCGGCCCCCTGGTCATCCTCATGGCGCCGTTTGCAACCCGGACGTCGGGGACCTGACACGTTAGCAGCAGAAAGATTTGCTCCATTGTCTTCTTCAACATCGTCCTCATCCTCTTCATCGACGTCGTCATACTCATCCAACTCAGCCTCCTCATCCTCACCTACAGATAAATATGTTAGTGAGAGTTGAAGTTTATTTCTAAATTCAATTATACGGGATCTAACCACATATGATGAAATACGGAACCCACCTGGAGCATAATCCTCTTCATCGTCTTCCAACTCGCCACTTTGTTGAAGGGCTTCAATACCAATTTCGTCGTCTTCACCCTCATCATCTTCATCCGATTCTTCGTCATCCTCATCAGCCTCATCGACACCATCTATTAACATCAAAGTGGACAAAAATAATGGTTGCATTAATAGCCAAGCACGTTAAGGTTATTTTGTACAGCTAATTACCACGCGAGATGAACACAAGCTTTCGAGCCACGTCCAAGCGCCTTGACTTTACTGCGATAAATGGACCAATAAAAACTCTTTAATGTGATATCTATTGTTTGAATTATCCTATTTATCAATAATGACAAACATTAAACAGGGAGAAGGGTCTTCACTCTATTGTTTCATAAGCCTTTAGACTAAGACCGACTACGAAGTAGCATACGCATGGTAATGCTAAGTTGGGAAACAAAGTAAAGGCTAGTAGAACAGAGGTTTATACCTGTAACATCAGACTGTCTCCGCAGTATTCAAATAAGCCATTCACAAGACTAAAGATAAACATTACGAATCAGAAATGGAGCGCAGTTTGCTAAATTGCGCCACTCACATAGAGCACTGCGCATACACTGTTACTTCGGCGTTGCGCAGTGACCGAACACTAGTTAGTTGTACTAGCAAACTTCGGAGTCATTTCACCTTGCTAGCACCTTCTGAGTTTTCAACAACCAAAGTCACTATCATCAAAATTAAATTATAGAATCATTTGCATAACCAACAACTGAAAAAATATTGAGATTTTACTGAGTTCCAGACCGGATATTGGACAGGACTGCGAAAGCATAAGTTGTCTATTACAACCCATAAATACTGATCAGGTCACTCGCTTTTTGAAAATACTAACTTCGAATGAAGCGTTGACGAAAAGCAGAAATAATTTTCGGAATGCTAGATCACTTCCAGCTCGAACTGAATATGAGATTAATCCTATGAAATAGGCAAGAGGTATGTGGGTAGACCATCAAACCACACGAAAATATAAAATTGGAAGTCGGAGCCCATCATCTGAAATTAGGTATTCCCTAACCTTTGCTATATACCTCGTCATCACTCAGCGGCGACGACAGGGAATCAACAGTAAGGCTATTAGCTTCACTACACAATACATCATGAAGTGAATGGCGAGTGGTAATGGTAGATATCCGTACTCAAGGAACTGGGAAACCCGGCGCTGAAACTTTGGTGAGGCGCTGATATACACCAGTGAGAATTGTTCGATGCACCAAGTCTTTGGTAGGAACCTAACACCGATTACATTCGATAGGTGAATACTACCTCTGGTCAACCCAATCACTTAATACGCAAACATCTAAGGCACAAACCAAGGGACGCTGAGTATGAACTCAACATTTATGTAACATATTCGTGCTCAAAGCACTGATCGTATCTGCATTCCTTGTGTGGGGCTTATATGGACGAAAGTAAGCGGCAGAAGTAACTAACTCATAGAGATCACTCAGCCACCAGGGAAAAAAGTCATAGCACAAAAACCACTTGCCACAACTGTTGAAGTGAGGCGCTCTGCTTCAACATACAGAGAACTAGGGACCAGGGAACTTTACCAAATGCTACTTCGATGGTCATCGTGCTTTCAAGCAAGTCAACGTTCGAACCAATGCGTACATTTACCCTCAATTTGTGTCAATGTCTACATACACCTTCCTACTCACCACACTCGTGGGAGATGTCTAATCAACCTTAAGACATAGACGGCTGATGATCAGTGCGGAGAGCAAGATAATGAGGACAACTAGTGTAGTCACTAGTTTGAGACTCATGGTCTTATGAGGAGTCAAAAGTCAACACGTAAACTCATCACCTAAGAATTATCGACTGAGCTAACTATCTGTTAATGCGTCACAAACTGAAGGATTATGAACACAACGCCATATCAACAATTAAGCCATTGGTTTAACATTACTTACCTTCCTCAGAACCACCATTTACGAATTCACCAGCAAAAACCTCTTCTTCATTATTTCTAAAGAGTGTTACTCATAGATAATTTGCTTACTCATCCAGACCATCCAGATACTTTAAAGATGGGATCATCGCGAATGTTTTTTTGCGATAATTCTCAGTTGTCGTGACAGGGCAATTACCAAGATCCAAGCTTCGCAGTTCGGATAGTTTAGCAAGCGGCATCAGCGCCTCCATTGACTCGATCTTATTGCTGTTTAAATTAAGCTGTTCAATATTAGGACACTTGAGAAGAGCGTCAAGACCACCAGATATCAAATTATTGGAAAGCTCAAGCTATGCAAGCACGTGAACATGACGGATATCAACTTACAGTTTTCAGACTTGTGAGGCACGGCAGACCTGTCAAGTTTTGAAGTCCAACATTCATCATGCTCAGAACTTCTAATGATGAATATTCATCCGTCAGACCCTCGATGTCCACTGATTTGGAGTTGTCCAAGTTCAGCTCCGTTATCTTGGAGGTTTTTATTACTACTTGATTAGCTTACTTCTCCTGGTTCACGTTTCCCACGCTCTAACTCTATGCGTTGCACCAGCGTCATGTAAGTCATCCTTCAAAACGGGAAACAATGGACAACAGCCTAGAAGATGCAATGGCGCCCAGGAAGCGGTCTTTTACAGTACTTAAACAAACAAAGTACATGTTGAACCAATTATCAAGCTTTGTGTAATACATTGTTAAATCAAAATTGCTTGAATGAATATAGGTTCTGAATACTGAGTGTCTCAAAAATTTTAATTAATATATAACTTTCGCGCGAACTTTGAAATGGGAGTGAATTTTACATGCTCTTGTTTAGCTCGGGCTTTTGTTGTGTTGTACGCTCCAAAAGTCCACAGATTAACTTTAAATCAGTTTATTTTGATCGAAAATAGTTACATTTCTGTTTTGAGTCTATTAAATTATAAGAAGTTGTGTTCTTATAACTTAATATTTATATATATCTATCTTTGTGTACTCATTGGCTTTTTATCACTGATTTATAAAAGTTATATATATTTAAAGTCATATTCAATGTTTCCCCAGTTCCTTTTAAAAAGCATGCCTATCAAAAGAAACCGCTGTGGAAGGGTTATGCGCCAGTTCCCCGTGGATGAGGGAATGCAGTGTTATAACTGCAAGAGATGGTTTCACGGTATGTGCACGACCCTTACACCTGCAGCATACAAACGCTGCTGCAAACCTCTAGCAAACTGGTTGTGCAATGACTGCTGTAAGTGCAACTAAGAAACCATTGCAACTCTCGGGGGGGGCATTAAAGCTCATGGACTGCAAGCGTCCTCCACCACAGGAGAATACTGACTATTGCTCATATAACAATGAAGGTACCGGCGTCATCGACAAAACAGCACATTTCTCCTATGCGTCCTTGCCAATAAGTCAGTGCCTGTCAGCATGAAAGAACACCTATAACATTCCAGACACCCAAGCTGCCCACACGATACTAGATAAGCCCACCAGTGACATTAATGGAAAGACTGCCACGAAGAAGAGGCTCACCAGGGGTCGAAAACCTGAAGGTCAAGTCGCCCAGGGACTGGTGGATAAGGACTCATCCACACCGGTGAGTAGGAGGCAGATGAATCCTACTACGATTAGCGAGGAGGACGCCAATGGATGGCGTAATGTAGTATCCCGCGATGAGCGAGATAAGGATAACACATTGGCTACACCACCCACGTAGGACAGAAACAAAAGACGCAGAGAAAGAAGGCCACGGAAAGCAAAACTGATCTCGCTGAGTGGTCGATCATTATTTTTAAAGTGGTAGAGTCACTGGGGCCCTATCCAGAGACCGGACTCGAGCATGACCTTAACTTGCTTAAGCCCCTTTTAGACAAGCTACTGACGCAGTTATGAATAAGATTTTATTTTGATATATCACAGTGCTGTACAGTTATATTAACTGATGACGTTTCGAGCATAAACTGCTCATAATCATATCAAGTAACTCACACAACTTTTTTCTTTCATTTATATACATGTGTGGAATCGGTTAGATATTGGATTAAAAATCAATGTGAGATAATGTCCCTTCAGAAATAATAGTACAAGTATTGTTGATCAATTGCAGTTAGATGGGAAATACAAGTGTTTTTATAGACATAATTAGTTACTTGTTAGAATGTTTTGATGTGTTTGAATCGAAATAGAATTTTAAGATTATTTATTATCTTCTTCTGATTTGACTGGTGGCAATAATATCTTCCATATTTCTGGTATTTGCATTGAGTCATTTCTGTTGCATGTGTTGTGCGTAGACTCGATGAACAAGGATTCCGTAATCAACCTCTCTCTCCACCTACCTATATTACTTTTTAGAATTTCAACCCTATCCCACCTTGTTGTGTGGTTGTTCGTTAATGCGTGAAGTGCAATAGCTGAGCATTTTTCTAAATTACTTATCTTTTCAGGGTCAACAATTCTTACCTTAGCTATATTCTTATGTTCTGATAATCTGACGATCCCTGACCTACTAGTGTGACCTATGTAGTTGACATCACAATCATTTCAGGGTATTTTGTAAATGATGTTATTTTGTCTAATTGGGTCCACCGAGTCTTTTAACCTACAGAGCTTATCTCTGAGTGAGTTTGTAGGTTTAAATGCCAACCTAATTCCTGATTTAATAAGAATTCTAGGTAGGGCCTCAGATGTCCCCTCCTTATATGGTATAACAGTAGATGATTTATATTCTCTCTTATTATTGTTATCATTACTGGTTCCACAATAATTTTTTTCGTCTGGGCTTTTTCTATCTTCCTAATGAACTTTATAGGATAGTTAGTTATTTAACACCAAAGCCTCTTCTACCTGTTTTAGTTCAAAACTTAGGTCTTTTCTTGTGCTGCCTAGTGCTACTGCTCGGTTTGTTAAACACTTAACTAGGCCTGCCTTAACAGATAACGGATGAGATGAATTAAAGTCTAACTATCTGTTAGAATGAGTTGGTTTTGTGTACACACTAGTGTGCAGTTTACCTTCTTCTATTCGTTTTATTTTACAATCTAACTTCATAGCTAATTCTCCTTGTTCATTTTCTGATTCAAATGTGAATTTCATTCCCTTTACTAGTGAGTTTATGCGTGTCAAGAAGCTAGAGATATGTTCTGTTTTTAACACTGTGAAAGTGTCATCCACATATCTCCACCATATTTTTGGAGTAGGATTAAATGTATTGAGGGCACTATTTTCCCAACTGTCCATAAATATGTCTGCTACGATAGGGGATATTGGTGATCCCATTGCTACACCTTCTGTTTGTCTATACATTTTACCTTGGAACTTAAAGATAGTAGATGTGAGGAATAACTGAATCCCCAACATAATTTGTTCACTGGGCAGCTTTGTCCTATGATTGAGTTCAGGAACCGCAGTTGGTTCTTTTTTAACTGCTTCTAAGGCCCATATTGACTAGTATATTAGCATAAAGACTAGATATATCAAAACTAACCAATTCTTTTTTCATCATTCTCTATTTGAATGTCAGTTAGTTTACTTTTCATCTCATATGCATTAGTTAGTCTAGAGTTTGAACGATTTCTAATGGGGCATAATATCAGCGCTAACTGTTTTGATAATTCATAAGCAGGAGTATTTCTAAAATCTACTATTGGTCGTATGGGGTAACCTGGCTTATGTATTTTGATAGTACCATATATTCTACTAGCATTATTAGTTTTAGGCGTTAAATTAAACCATTTTGACTCACTCAGTGACGGCTTCATTCTACGTATTAGTCCTGCTGTAGATTTCTTAACCTTATTCATTATTGTGTCTGCAGACTTCTAAATTTCTTCATATCCACCCTGCCAGCCACGTATCGTAAACCGTCAATGCCCAGCTCTTGCTACGCTGGAACTCACGCTGTTCCTTGAAGTTTCTCAGAAACGCTTAGTAATAACGGATGCAAAAACCAGAACATATATTGGCGACTAGAGAATTCTTTATTGTAACACCAACATATAGCCAACTTTAAAACTAAGCTTTACAACTAAGGTCTGTGAACAAATATTACAATAATAAATCACAATATTACTTCTGACGGTTTACTGCTGACTTCTTTCTGAACAGCGACCGATGAGACGATGACTGGTGTATTGATGCCTCCGCGAAAATTGGGGAAGTTGGGTTAGAGCAAACAACCATGAATTGATCGTTCAATCTTCAACTACATTGACATGAGACTTGATTGACCGGCAGGCAAGAGGAATTTTTTCCTCTTCCTTTCCAATAACACAACTTTTTGTAATTCCCGTCGAGTTTGTCTATACGTATATTCACGATTAAAATTTAGACTTGAACCAATATATCTCAGCTTATTTGATTGAAAGCAAGTATTACAAAACACTCATTTAATTTCTAGAGTTTCTTTCCATTCTTGCCATGAAAGACTGTTCACTCTAAACTGTATTTTTCAAATATGATCATACCTGCATAAAGTGTATGTCATTCATATAAACAATTAATTTACGTGAGTAAAATATTATTGTTAGTTAAAATATGATTATGCTGATTTCGTTGTCGGCGATATTGGATGTTAGACAGATTTCAGCAGAGATAATTATTTTAAGGTATAGGTGGGACTGGGAGTTCCTGAGTTCACCTACTTTCCCTCTTAGCCCCCTCATATTGCTATACAGGCAGCTGACAATAAGTCCCAGAACCTCAGCATGTTGTGGGGTGGTCGACGTCACGTTGTGTGCTGTTAGGTGACTTAATATTGGGACTAGTTGGCTGATTCTGAGATAATCGGCCCATTGTCGTTTTTTCTTTGGATTCCCGAAGGGCACTGACTGTCATTCCAATATCCAATATCCTGATGACGAGCTAGTATAAACCAGTGATTTCTTTGAGCTCGCTTCTTGATTGTGAGGTAGAGGTTCCAGATCTTCGGTGAGCTTCTGCGTAGTAAGTCCCGACACTCGACTGCTTTAGCTCTGGTAGACTCCAGGAGGAGTGGTGCGGGGATTGGTCGAGATGTGGTTTGTAGTATGCAGTATGTTAGGACTGTATTGCTGCCGTGAATGGAGTTTGACCTAACTCCCCTTGGTCATTCGGTGTAGTCATAAAAGCAGAATAGTAATAATAATAATAATAATAGGTTGTAGTGTAGATAATATAGGTTGAGATAAGTGGAATAATAAAGGTGACCTAAGGAAAAGATAGAGTGAGAGAAGGCAGAATAGGTCGTGGGGATTTAGTTAGTACGCTTATTCATTGACAGTTTGGTTTCAAATTTTATGAGGATAAGCCATTGAGACACAAACCTTGCATTTCTGCATGATTGTCTAGCTTCCGCTTAAAAATCTCCACAGATGGCGCTGTAGTCACGGCCGCCGGTAAAGCGTTCCAGAGACGGCAAACACGAAGCGAAAAGAAATGTGATCGCACTCGAGTCTTTGGTCTCTGGTGTGCTATCCTTAGCGGGTTACCTCGTGGAAGCCTATAATCGCTTAATGGCAGGATGCTTTTATTTGGGTGGGCCTGGTCATTTAGGATCTTGTAGACGGTGATGAGGTCTCCCCTGTGCCTACGGTAACTGAGTGT